CTTGTCATCAAAAAACCAGATAAAAAACTAAAAAAGTGGTAATTTAAATTAAACAGAAAACTGAATGGAAGATGTACTCTTTAACATTATACATTTAATGAGCAGTAAAAGTGCGTTGGCTGAATATTGCATCAGAGCATCCACATAGCAGATGGCCCATATCAGATATCTGGTGTACGTGTGTTTGTGTGTGGTTAATGTTTAGTTAATGGTTAACATAACCTCCCATTAAGCCCATCTCTCTGCTCCCCGGTGCTCGCCTGCAGCCTCACTTTGTGACGTAGGAGATGGACAGTAATGAATAGGCCCCCAGTGGAAAATACATCCTGTCAACATGAATGTGCTAACGGGAAAATGATTAGCGAAAAAGGCACCGAAGGGAGATAGAGAGATTATCATGCCTGTTGTTGTAAATGTCAACATTTTCAGTGCGTTAGATATGCTATCTCCCAGTTCAAACAGGCACATAAAGGCGAGTATAACCGCAGGCTGAAATAAAGAACAGTATGATCATCACTTGGACAGTTCCCAATGACAGTTACGGCGTTATCAGTGTTGTTTGCAGTATCATCATTGACCCCAACCGAGGAAAGCAGGTTTAACATGAACATATGGAGTATTAAGACTTGTTATCTTGCTTTAAAGAACAAGAAAATACATATTGGATTCAAACTGGATATTCTTATTCTATGAACTTTGATGATCTCTGATCCAATCAACTATTTTCCCCTTTCTATGCTTTTCGTTGCTTGACACACCTATTAAACAAATAATCCTTAAAAATTGCAACTCAAATGAGTTCCAGGTATTTTTAATCTAATTTACCTTTGATAAATGATTGTAACTCCAGTAGTCAGATGACATGTTGTCCAAGGCTGGCTTTGTTTGGAGCATTGTCTGCTGCCAGCTGTATGCAAATAAGGCTATTCAGTGAAAATCCTGTACACCTGGTGCTTCAGTTGGTGAAACTACGCTGCTATCAAGTCATCTTAGACAAAGCAGTGGTTATGAGTCATGACCTCATGGCTAATGTGTTTTTGTTAACATGTCTACACTTTTTATTTATATAAGATTTATAAGACTTTCAAGACTTGTAATACCTATTTTGGAACCCTATAACCTCTTTACACAAACTTTAAAAGAACCCAACCAAAAAGCAACCCTCCCTTGTTTGTCTGAACTGAGACTTGATAATGTTAGCAGCAGTGATGCTCCCATGAAAAACAAACTGTGTGTCTTTTTCCAGTTGCCAACCCGTACCTGCGTAACGCGAGCCGAACGAACAAAACTTAATCTTCAGGTATTGTACGTGAGGCTCAACGTGAAGCAAATACGGACATGAAAAAGTCACAAAAACCACCAGTGTGTCACGATGATCCAGAGATGTGGAAACAGCTGTCTTCATCGCTGTTGGGTAACCTTTGGAAGAACATTTGGAAGAAGTTAGAACACCAAGAAAATATTGAAATTGATAAGAATGGAAGGAAAGTAGGAGTCAATGAAAAGCAGCCTACCTTTAGAAGAAGAAGAAGAAGAAGAAGAGCGGTGGAGGCCAAAATGCTCAAGCTTGGTCAGGTTTGGCTCACCTTTTACGCGCACTGCATGTGTGCGGTTTGTGACAGGTATACACCTTTTATACCTCTACATGTTCTCTCTTTCTCTCTCTTTCTCTCTCTCTCTCTCTCCCCCCACCCCTCATGGATGAACCAACAGAGAGGATCCTCAGGGCGCTCACGGACACCTGTCGCATGGTGCGTTGCTCTGATCCAATATTGACATAAAGGGGGAGGGGTGTGTGTGTGTGTGTGTGTGTGTGTGTGTGTGTGTGTGTGTGTGTGTGTGTGTGTGTGTGTGTGTGTTTGTGCGTGTCTGGCACACACACACACACACACACACACACACACACACAAACACACACTTCCATGTACCTACCCACCCATTGCCTCCATCTAAAACACCCTCCCTCCCCCTCCTCCTCCTCCTCCTCTTTGCTGGGCAACGTGTCTGACCTTTGTGCCTGCGTTGATGTGTAAAAAGGCGCATTGTAACGTCGCTACCTGCCGACTCAATTCAGCGCCTGTTCATGCATTATTTCCATATCATATGCCTTGCAAATGACTCTCTGCTGATGGGTGGCTCACCTTGTCTGACAACTTTGGAAACATGGCTCCATGTGGAATCTTCCAGGTGTTGTGGAGGGAAAATGCTCAGGGTTCAAACTGCTAGATCCACCCTAATGAGGTGAACAGTGATGTAGCCACAAATATGTCCCCAATGAGGAAATCAGGGGATTAAAACTTGAATTAATGATGAAATCAGCAATTGAGATGGAGGGGTGCAGAAACAAGTCTTAAAACCTGGAAATAACTTTTACCACTTCTGGTTCCCTCATCTCGAAAGTCAATGTTTTATGAAAGTGTTTGTGGTTAGATGTCTTAAAAAGATCTATTGTTAAAACATAGATGGTTTAACATAAAATATGTCAGTAATTACCCCACACATGAATGTCCGAAGCTTCTATGTGTCATGAAAACGGTGGTTGCTATCAAGTGGCTAAAAGAGATAGCAAAACGTCAACACGCTCACACAGGAACGCCTTTAGCTCATCGAAGGTAATATGCAGCCATGCAACAACAGTGAAGTAGCCCGTTTATAGCCTAGCGTTAACGTTTGCCTCTGCCGAAAAATCACAAAGTAGCGGTAATATTATCCTGCTGAACAAAACGTGGCAAATATCATGAATGTGTGTTTGCAGTGATTCTTTTCTATTTTACAAGAATCCAATCAGAAAGTCTCATTAGGCGCATTCACACCGCAGTACTTTTCCCACAAAGGTTCATGAGAACTTAGTTCATCAGAACTTGTGTTGCCATAAATTAGTCTCTCTGCGTTTCTGCGCTGGGCTAATGCTAATAATGCTAATAAAATGGTGGCTTCACAACACATTTTTTGAGTTTTACGGGGCGTGGTTTGTAATCCGCCCAGCCAATCAGAAATATAGCTCTTTTCTCACAAGAGAGCCGAATGAGAGTCCCTACTCTCTAGCAGGGACGGAAAAGGGGGTAAAAAGGTTCTTAGTTCCGGCTCTTTTTGGTGTGAACGCGACATTTCGGAACTATATCGGAACTAAAGTGAGAAAAGTACTCCGGTGTGAACGCGGCTATTGCATTATTGTCAAGGCACCATTTGCGATGCTAACTTCCGGGTCGGCCTCCAAACCCTAACCCCAACCCTAACCCTACGTCATCACTACACAACTCGGTTGTCTTAAATTAAAGGCCTGCAAACCGAAAGTAATTAATTATGGATAATTCTAAATGATTTAATAGTCGAAAAATTCAGTGTGCATGGATTGTTAAATCACTCAGAGAGGAAAATATTGGTGATTGAAATGAACAAATACAATTAGCTAACTGATCAAAACCTCTTACATGCAACATGAACAATGACAGCGAACCAATCAGAGCTCTTGTGGCTGCTCTGCGGCTTGTACCTTTTATTTCTGCAAACTTACTTGCATGTCTTTGATTGAAGGGACAGTCTTTCAATTTGACAGACACCCTCCATTGACTCTTTATTGGTCATAAGTGCTGCTCATTGTGAAAACTGACTGATCTTTACAAAGTCTAAAAAAAAGATTTTTTTTACTTAAATTTGAAAGAGACTAGCTTGTCCAATAAAGGATTGCATTATGGGAATTTGAAGTTTGACTAATGAAAACGACTAACAATGAATTTCAAGTGTCGCAACATTCAGCAGGCACATAACAGAGAAGATTAAGGAAAGTTTAGCGTGAGGTGTTATAATGCAAGATTAATAACATTTAAAAAACAGTAACCGCATTAAAAGGAAGTCTAGAATAACTTGATTTAAAAAATGATTAAGAGTATTACTACGTTGTTTAGAATTTGTCCTAAGCTGAAAATGCCTCACCATTCAAGGATATCCAAATTGTGAATGAAAAACAATATACAAAATGCAGAAAAACTGATATTAAATGTCATCTGACTTCTTCACAGAGAACATAATTATTAAAGAATCTTCATTACAAAAATGATGTATGTGTACAGTAAGGGATCCATATTAAACAAAAACTTGGGGGAAAGGTTTTTCAACACAATGTTTATTGGAAGTATTCCGTAATACTTAAGACATGTTATTGCTTCTTTTAGTTATAATATGAAAGTACATGGAGGGAAAAAGGCTAACCATGTATCAATGTATAAGAAACTTTAAATGTAACCATTAAATCAAGAAAACCATCAACATGAAGCCATTTCCCTGCATGTAGGCCTAATAACAGGACAACTGTCGTGGCGCTAGGACAAATTTACAAAACGTTTAAATGTTTGTGTCACACATGGAAAACAATTATCTCTTTAGTTAACATAACTTGTTTTTTAACTTTCTTCTTAGAGACGGACAATAAACAATGCAGAACAACTGGGATCATTCACTCTACAACTGAATTTGTATCTCTTTATCAAAAAAATGGATGTCACCTCAGTAAGTTAAACATTATGGACGGCAAACACAGGACTCCATCAAATTGTCTAGAATAACTAGACCATATTAGGCCTTCTCTCATCTTGTAATTTAAACAATCTGATAGTTCAAACGTGTATCATTGGAAGAGGTTGTAAAAGAAATATCAAACACTGTTCAAATGGACCACAAGTTGTCAAAAATAGGGTATTCCAATCAATTAGGCAAATCAAAAGCCATCATTTTGTAGTTGACCTGTGAAATTAATTAATTTAAGTGTTCAAAGCCGCAAAATCAAGTCAGGACTCCATCCATCCATCATTCTACTGAATTGGGATCAAGTCTGTCCGTTTGCTATGAAATGAACTAACTGTCAAAATATTTGTAATACTGATACTCAGAAACTAGAGTTAAACATTAAAGAACCAACCGAAAATTCCCTGAAATGCAACCTTAATATTATACAACAATTTCAAAGGTTTACCTACTCTAATATGTGCTTAAGATCTTGGTCTAATATTTTGGCAATTATATGAAGGGATACTCAGGAATGGCAGGTTTGTGATGAAGAAAAGCTATAGTCTTTGTCAAGGAAATGACACCTCAAACTTCAGATTTAACACAATTGCCATCAGGGAAATTGGGAGTTGAACAGCAAACAAAAAAAAAAAAACGTACCTATTCTAAATAATACACCTGATAATACTGAAACATTTCCCCAAATATGTCTAGACCTGCCCCGAGATTTGCAGTTTATTCATAGGAAGGAATCAGAAGAACACCGGTAAAGCAGCGTAACAGAATCAAAAGAGTGCATTAACATTAGCTCCAAAGTAAAGTGTCCAAATCCCCACAGCAGCCAGGTACGTCCTGCAAAAGTCTACATATGTTTCTATGTATACAACTAGTGAACCCTGGTGTTCCTCGGAAATGAAAAAGAGAAGTTCATCCCACAGAGATCCTTAATTGCGGCAGGTTAAGTTAAAAATAAAACATATTGATGCCTCCCTAACTCCTATTGGTCGCTCTGGCAAAGTCTCTTTGTGTACGCCTGCCAGCCGCACTTCCTGTATGATTCAGCGGCTGTCTGCCTATCAGAGGCCTCCAGGATACCGCGGCCCACGATGATGACATCAGAGCCTTTGTTGCAGAGGACTTCCTCTGGCGTGGTGTACTGCTGGCCCAACCCATCACCTGTGAGAGAGGGGTGGGAGAGAAAGGGTGAGGAGGGGGGATAGAGAAAGGGGGAGGTTGTCGTTGAGTATGAGGAGGAGTATAGATGGAAATGCATAGCGATCATTTCTGGTACTATAGCTCCTCCTGGTGTTAAAGAGGAATAACTACATTGGAGGAAAAACAAGTGCTTAAAAATGCAACAGGAGAAAATACGACTCCTTACATGATATGTTTCTTGTTAGACGCTTTTATCCAAAGCGACTTACATACTCAATACTGTGGGCAATCCCCACAGGAGCAATTTGGGGTGAAGTGTCTTGCCCAGGGATACAACGACATGCTGACTGCAGTGGGGTTTGAACCTGATCCCTGATCCCACCACCAAGGCTCTATCCACTGCGCCACACGGCTCCTCGTGAAATGAAAGTCAAAGTTACCTCCAGCCTTCATCTGCACCCCGGGGGTCATGTGGATGAACTCTGGCCTCTTTGTGATCTTAGAGCCACAGATGAAGCCAATCACAAAGTCTGAGTGGTCCTCGGCCATCTTCAGCTGTGGACACAGATAACAGATTGTAGATTAGAGAACCCTGACTGATGCCCTCTGCACTTTATTAGAGTTGCAGAGACATTGCTTACCGCAGCCTGGGTGTACTCCCCAGTAGCCAGAGATCCCTGGGAGCTCATCTGTGCTATGAGCAAGCAGCCACGGCCCAGAGGCTTCCCTACAGCACCGAGGCCCTGCACCACCCCAGGGCCCGGCACCACGTGGGCATTCACTATGTGGGACCAGGACGAAATCTGGTACACACCACCTGGGAGAGAAAAAGTCACAGATTTTAGAGCTGCTAATGGTCTGGTTCCTAGCTATTTGTAAGTATTGCTTTTAAATGATGAACCTTTTAGAGAGCTCAGTTCTTCTGCTACTGCGCCTTAGTTCATAGCTAAAGAAAAATGTAGACCCGCAGAAAGGCGTCTTTTTATTATTACAGCCTATGAATGAGGAAGAGCCTTCCACAAGCCTGACGGCCCGTCTACACTACAGGCATCAAAAAATCTTGAAGCTGGGCGTGTCTGAAGCTTGGCGATTTTTTGCGAGCAACGCGACCAACAACCAATCACATGAATAGCCCGCCCCCGACATACAAAGCAATAGCAATGTTAAAACGAAGTAAACTGGATATAAACTCTCCAAACAGGCGAAAAACCTACCAGTTTCACCCACTGTCTCTGCCACCTCCCTCCATGCCTGGTTCCTCCTGTTTGTATCCCGGTAAATAGTTCTGGTCGTAAAGAACCGGGTGATTTGCTACTGTAATATCTCGTTTGGAATATGAGGAAATGAACTGCGGTCTGGCTCTCCCAGCTTGCACGCGGTTTGATTGGCTGCGCTTGCACTGGCGGGATTTGCATAAACGGGATTTGATTGGCTGATGCCAAGCATCGAGCCTCAAAAGTTGAACATTGTTCAACTTTTGATGCCGATAGATGCTCGTGATGCTTGCAAAGCCATGCCATGCTCCCCACAATGCAGTTCGGCGAAGATTACAAATCTTCTACGTCACCCCATTCAAGTGAATGGGCGAAGCGTTGAAAGCATTTTTCGATGCCTGTAGTGTAGACGGGCCGTGAGGGTGTTCATCATTTTAAGAGCCAGCTCAAGATGAATTCTCTTGCACTCTTTTATTTCTACTATGTTTCTTTTAGCATACTGTTAAAATACTTACAATAGACACAAAAAAAAGTTATACGTTTTTCAAAAATAAGCTCAATCTAAATTACCATCATACTGATGCTTGACTGTGTTTCCAATGTCAGCGAACTTGCGATCTTCGAAGATGAGGAAGTTGTGTTTCTCAGCCAGAGCCTGCAGTTTCTGAGTGAAATCCGCTGTGTAGTCCTGTTATTAGACAAATGAATAAACATATGTTAATGTCATGCAACCAATTTAAATCTAAATAAGTCACTTGGTTTTTTTGTGTCCCCTTTATATGCTTATTTTTTTGATATCCTTTTTTAATTCCTAATTAGTCGAGCTGTTTTTTTATTATTATAATTATTTATTACATCTATATATCTTAAAAATTTTTTTTTAAAAACGCTTTAAGATTAATGGCATGGTCTCTTGTTTCATTTAAACTGTATGTGAGAAATTGTTTGTCTGCTTTTTAACAAAGTATGTTTGGACAAACTGATTTTCAGTTTATTTGTATAATAAATATTTCAGCTGTTATTATTTTCTTTTTAACTTTAAAACTAAATCTGAGATTTAAGGCCTTTATTTGGTTTGTTTATTATGTTCTAAATCTCAGAATAAACTGTCAGTATTCTTCGTGTTCAGTATGGCCTGGTCTCACTGACCTTCAGGATGTCTACGTGGGTCTTCAGGATGCAGACGAGGGGGCCCAGGGAGTCGGCGAGCTGCAGGAGCTCCTCGCTGCTTGTCAGGTCTAAGGACACACACAGGTTGGAGCTCTTCTCCTCCATGATGTTCAGCAGCTTCGCCGCCAGAGGGTGGACGTCTGCAGGCAGGAAGGGGAGAGACTGGATGAAGAGCTTTTTATCAACATGCAATTTGCACCGAATGATGCTATCTAAATGATATGAGATGCAGAAATTAAGAATAACAATGTAAAAAGTCCTTTAAAAAGATAATTGAAATGAATGAAAGGGGTGGAAGGGTTTTTCTTTGAAGTTGGAAGACACCTTGCAAAGAAATATTGTTAATATGCATGTTTGTTTTGTTGATCTTTAATAGCATTTCCAGTATTGTATATTGCAGTTTTTAGTGATTGTATTACTTGTTATTTTAAATGTAAGATTTTTATAGGGTGACGTACAACATCTGGCCAGGACTAGAGATGAAAAATAGCATCTTTGCTACGTCTGGCACATTTACAGAAATGTTTATTAATGTGCTGTCTCCCTTTTAAATAAATAAATGCTTGAAAGCCTGCATACTTGGTAGTTTGGCTCTCTCTGCGTAGCTCAGCTCCATCTTCTGCTCCAAACACAGTTTTTTGGTTGCAGAAACTCCATTGCTGTTCTCTTTCTTGGGGCTGAAAGAGGAGAGGAAGTAGCAAATGTTAGCAGTAAGGTGTGAATTAAAAACACAACACCTATCCTTGCCGTCTTAGTTTGGAAAACGTTTGGACTGTACCTGAAAGTGTTGTTGTCCACGATGAACTCGCGGACGCTCTGCGCTGTTTTGGCGTCGATGCGCTTGGCTGCCAGCAGCACGTTGAGCAGCTTGAACATGGAGATAATGGGATGGAGCCGAATGCCCTTAGAAGCCAACATCTCCACACCGCCCTGCTCTCTGTCCATGAGCACCACGGCATCCGTCACCTAGAAGGGGGAAAAAAAGATGGTTGATGACCTCGACAGTGATAATTCAGACAACAAGTCATGGTTTCTACTGTAGTTTCTGATTCTGTACCTTCAGCCCCCCTGCGTGGAGCACTTGAGCGGTCTCCTGGATGCTGCTGCCGCTGGTCACAGTGTCTTCAATAATCAAACATATATCCCCCTCCCGAAATGAGCCCTCCACCAGACGCTTGGTTCCTAGAGGGGTTACATAAGGATCATTATTAGTCCCTATTCAAACAAACTAACAACTGCACAATGGCCATAATTCACTTGCCTACAATCAAATCAGCCCTCAAAAAGCTTTTATTACTATTAGTCATAGACTATAGTGCTTCTTATCTTATACACTTTTAAACAAAATTAGCAGGAATATACCGGTGTTTTTAATATGGGAAAACCTGGTTAAAAATAGGGCATTTACTGCTAGTAGAATGCCAGTAGACGAGTATGCTGGCTCTTATAGCAGGTTTAGTAAACAGTTAAAGGCAGTAATGCCGGTTTTGTCTTTTTAATATATGTTACTTCATATTTTCCTATTTCAAACACTCAAAGCGGAGTTGGTGGTTGTGACAGGGCAAACACTTAGATTTTTTTTTTCTGTTAAGTTTGAATGAAGAGTGTTTTATGAAAATAGGCAAGTTAAAATGAACAATTCTGTCAATATGCTAACATTAGTTAAATATGTTGTACATTTCTAAATTATAATTACTTGCCAAATCCCTGTTGTATTTATCTATAGTGTATTCCCTGTAACTTTGTCAGACAAAGGGGCCAAGGAAAAGGACCCAATTGGCATGTCTGAATGTGTCGTGTTTTCATTACTGCCAAACGTGGCAAGAGTCGATAAATACCCATGACTGCTGCAGAGTCATTTGTCCCAGGAATGAATGACAATTGTAACCTTTCCCACTCAGAACAAAAGACAGCGGTTAGTGGGTGCTAATGCCTTTTTTGTCAGGTAACAAATGGGCTTCGGGGATATAACATCTATGTTTCGCTTCCGAATGGTATCACGGTATCATAAAGGACAAACACATATGGATCCTTTTATACATAAAGAGCAAGTCGCTGTGATGTTAAATAAGCGTCATTTTTATACATGTTACTATCCAGATTGTCAAAATAGGACGATTCTGATTAGACAAAATACGTTAATACTCCTAAATGTTACAAAAAAGATTGTTTAGCCTCCTTGTCACTAACCATAGTCCTTGGCCTCCTTTCGCCTGATGAGCATAGGCAGTTCATGTCTGGAACAGATGATTGTGGCCATAGGCAGGGCTGTGTATGGGACCCCGCACACAGAGTCAAACTGAAGCCCCTCTTCTTGCACTCGCTCGTAGATGAGACTTGAAACCTGCAAACAAACAAGGGATCAAGACCATACTGCTGCAGTCTTGAGGTAAGGGCTACACAACAATGAAGTCACATGGAATTCTACAACATCTAATAAACTTAAATGTTTCCCCACCTCAGCTTAAAATGTGACACTTTTGATATACTGTGTCACTGATAATGTGGTAACTATAAAAATGGCTTTGGAGTGCATTTCTGAGGTAATACATTTCTAAAATAAAGAAAAACGGAGGTCTTTTATCGTGATTATTGGACTTTTAGACTGTCGATAAACACACATTACCACATCGTTTACACCTCACTTCAACACGCATGAGGAGACGTACATTTTAGCGTCATTATAACAACCTTTTGTGTTTCGATAATGTATCTTTGTGCTGTTTTTATTCGTTTCTAAGCTTAGCATATGCTGTGCGGGAGCGAGGACATGCAACACGTGTTTACCTGGTTCATGAGCTTGGGGTGGGACACGAGCACCCTGAGGTCAATATAAATGGGTGTCATCATGCCGCTCTTCAGCTTGTACTCCCCAAACTTCACCGCGTCCACATCGTGGAGCTTCAGAATTAAACTGTCGATAGATGCGTTTTCCATCTTGTCTGTATTTAGGAGATGAAGCAGGACTTCTGTCGAACTTCTACTCTACTTTACTCCACTGTGTCTGTTTCCTCAGTTGCACGCCACTTCCGCTCTGACGGTTTTTTCAAAATAAGAGCGCTAGCTAATTAGCTCAAAATAAGCACAATTCTACAAGAACTATAGTCAATTACGTTAACAGGCTATTTAAAACGAAGTCCTCCAGTTGTTGAAAGAAATGTAAAGAATGTGTTATTGAAGCCGTAAAATAGAAAAATAAAAAGCGGTTGGTGTAATAACAAACACAATATTTGTGTTCTTTAGTTAGTGAATTAAAATTCATGTAATTTTATTCTGAAGAGAGAACTGATTCACCGGAAATCGCTGTAATGGAGAATGATTTCCTGTGTGGGGTTATTTCTTTTCCGAATATAAGCGCACCCCTTCAACTCATAGATGTATAATAAGAACAACGTCTTCAACGTCTTATGTTTATTTTTTTTACTCGGAAACGGACTGAAATCCTTTATTTATACATAATATAAACGAAATCATCATATTTTATTGCGTCCTAAATCAGCCCTGGTCCAAAAACCTTAATATTTGTTTACTATACATTACCTGAAAACTACACATATTCCCCGAACAAAAAACACAGACAAGATTTGGCTTGGGTTTTTTTCACTTTATTAAAAAGATTCAGTCCACAGTAGTTCAGATTTTGGCACCAACAATATAAAAACAAGTTAAACAAAAATAAAGTGTACACCCTAAAAAAGCATTGAACAAAATGCCTGAATAAAAGGGATAAATAAAAGAATGAATTAAAAATAAACAAGAAATACAAACATTTATGTAATTAAAATGCATTTCACTTGGAAATAATGGTGAATTTTACAATATTGTTTTTGAAATTACAGTTTCACTTTTGGTCAGTCAGCTTTTGCTTCATTGATTTGATGGGTGCTACACCTTATGTACTTTCAAAATACCCACATCATGAATCACAGAATCCCATCTAAATGGTGTGACTTCTCTGTGCTGTAATAATGGCAATGCAACGATTTTTTTCTAATACTAACTCAAAAGTAACAGTGCTTATCTCAGGCTTGTTGTTATGAATTTCTTGTTTTGTAAAAATAACTCAATGGGAATCAATGTATGGCTTTGGAAATCCTTTGCAATAAACCCACACTTTTGATTTGGAAATGTGTTTTACCTAATATCTTAACATTTCCTGAACATACAATAGTCATAGTGAGTCTCAAATGCATCATAAAAGCAACAAATGTGGCTACAGTTATTACCAGAGATCCTAATTCCATAAAACCAGGCACATTGTGTTTTCTCTTAATCAAAGGGAAACTAATGGTCATGGAATGTTTTGAAATACTGAAACATTTTCCAAAAGCAACATTTAATTGGGATGGGGTAGGCAGGTTAGGGGTGATAAAGCAGCAGGTTTTGTGCTCTAGCAAAGTGAGGAAGAAATTTGATTAGATAACGAAATTCTTGATTCTGCTGAAGAAGTTATAAACCAACATGAACATTTGGACGGATCTTTGAAAAGGCACAGAGGGTGGTGTAGTAAAGTCTTTTAAAAAGGCACTCAAATTTGGTGCGGGGGAAACCTTTAAGGTACAGATCAGATGGAAATGTCTTCTTTCAAATGAAAACAGGTGCAGGCTTCCTTCTTGAAGTGGTAGTGACGCTGTAAGGGGTGTAACTTCCTCATCCTCCTTTTTTCATGCCCACCTCTTCTCTAATCTGAGGGGGGGTTGGCGTCCGCGTACAGCTCTGGCCTCAAACATTCAATCGGACAATGGATGTTCTGGAGAGCAGAGAAGGGCAGGACAAAAACAGAAGACATTTTGTAATTTATTAGCTTGGATTTATACTGGATTTATAGCAACAAATAAGTGATTACCAAAACTATGCTGCATTTAATACTATAAAAAATGGTGGGTAATTATTGGAAATTCATTGAAAACGAGTACTGTGCGACATCTTTATTTTACTTATGTTCTTCCACCAGTTTTTCTTGAATTTAATTGATCACTAGAAGTGGATGAAACAGTCTTATTCAATTCAAGTTTGAAGAGGAAGCAGTATTTCTTAATATCATTAGCAAATTATTAATAGTATTGTATTGATTTGTTTTATTCAGAGCAGAAAATCAGTATCAAAACTTATAGGGAGACGCTCACCAGTTTGCGTAGAGCGTTTTCTCTGTACCGGTCGAAAACATCCGTATGAACAGGTTGAAGGAGGCCAGCGTCCACATCAGTGTGTGTTCCCGGCCTTCTGCAGTTCTCACAGCGCCAGCCCTGAAGAGATGGAGGGAGAGGTTCATTCAAATGCACTAACACATCATTTAGGGCATTGTGTTATCCGTAAAGCACACAGATGCAATGTTACACACCTGTTGTCCTCCGTAGCAGGTGCAGGTACAGATGGCGTTCAGGTATTCCTTCTGCCACTGGTTTCCAACATGGTACATTTTCCCATCGTCATAACATGTCGACTCATCTGGAATGTAAAAGATTGTAAAAGTTAAAAAAGTGTGAATAATTTCCAATATATTTCATATCAGAAATAAATGGCTATTGAATATCCATGAGGAATGAATGTCAGAATCCAAAGATTGAAGAAAAAATATACTAAATTGTACCACAATACCAGCAGCCTACTGATGTCTCAATTACTTTTAGTCATAGACTATAAATAGGAAGTGTAGGTAGTCACTGTGACGTCACGCATTGGTAGGTGGAGATATTGTCTTGAAGCCTCACTTTGGAATATTTGATGTCACCATTTTAATCACAAGCGACCATAGAGGACGGAGCTAGAGAGCGATACGCATTGCTAAAGCTCTATCCTAAATGACAACGTGGCAACATAACATCTCAAGTTAACCTCACTGTGTAGAGCATCAGCATACCCTGATTCATCAGCTATTTTACTTTAAATTGGACCATGATTTGCAAAATAATCATAGTGCTGTATTGTAGAACAGTTAAAACAATTGAGTGATGCCATAAACTCTTTAGGGAAATCTTTACTTAGGTAATAAATCAAGTGAAAAGTGGGGTCAACTTTCTCATAGACTTCTATTCAATCTTATATTTGCAAACAGTGGAGTTGCTATGCTATCTGCTGGTCATTAGAAGTAATGCAGGTTAAAGGCACTTCTGCATTGGTTTCACTTTTCAGACTCGAAGGCTACGTCCACTTCTTTTATACAGTCCAAGGTCTACTTGAGGCCATCTTTACTTACGGGGTTCACATTTGAATTCTCCCTTGCCATTGCCCAGACAGGTGCAGCTCATCATGTGACCATTCTCAGCCTGGCGGTCCCACTTCTCGCCGATGCGGTAGTTGTTATTGTTGTCGTGACACCACTCTGAAAGAAAGAAGTAGTAACAAAGAACGATAGAAAAGATAAAGGGAGCGAAGAGCAAAGGAAGGAGAACAGAGATTGATCCAGATGCCGGAGCAGAATGAGAGCATGGAGGAAGGGGCGTGAAGTGGATATGTGAGAGAAGTTCATTAGTTAGTGTCGAGAGCCGCTTAACAAAAAATGTATTTCATACTGCAGATATAGATTCACAGCATTTACAAAAAACAATTCACACAATTAAATTCACTGAGAAAAAAGCATGGAAAACAATCAACGCAATTAATGTGTATTTCAAACAACAGGTGATGACATTATTACAAATTCACAGAGGCTTAGGCCCATTGGGTCACCGGGGACTCACGCATACAGACAGTGAAACATACAGACAGTGAAACCTTTGGTGAATTATTGGTGATCTCAGTTTCTGGTATTGTCATGTTAGTTGTATGGACCATACAAAAAACCTGTGACCGACGCTGGCCAGATAGCTTAGCTTAGCTTTCTGCTCTGTGATGTTTTCACAGTCTACAGAGGCAGAGCAGAGAGTCTAACATGGGCAGACCATAGACAGACTCATACAATGTAAAGACATGATCATCTTTATGAAGTTATGTATGAAAACATTTCTGAAATGATGCAACGCTATACGAAATGATAGTTTGCTAGTTACCATTGTTAAGGCTGCCCATGCCATCATGTTATTAATGCATGTTGATGCACATAGAACTGTAACATTCTATTGCTTTTAAATCATAGCAAAGAATTTATAAAACATATAGATTGTATTGATTTGTGTTCCATATCTCCAACAAATCTTTTGTTCCTCTTATAAATTCCTCTTGAGAAAATCACCTAGAATTATTTGGTTTGTAATTCCCTAGTGTTTTCAAAGCATGCTGGGATTATTTGGTTAATAAGCCACTCACTGGATGAATCACATCTAAAGTGGCCGCTGCCCAGCCCAATGCAGCGGCACCACAGCTTGAAGCCCGTCTCAGACATACGCTCCCACTCTGAGTCCACCTCGTGGTAGGTCTGTGTGAACATGTCGTAACACACGTCCCGGTTAGTGGCGACGGGGATGTCACCTGGAACTAAGAGATGGAAGAAACAAATGTGGTTAGAAGAAAGCCAAATGATGTGTAATAATAATAATAATAATAATAATAATAATAATAATAATAATAATAATAATAATTGACAACAACGGGCAGCAAATAAGAGGTGAAGAAAGGACCTTGGACCTTATTTAGATTGTATTTAATTCTCTTGCATTTTTAGTTTTAATGCTGTTATTGGTGTTATCATATTTTAATATACTAGAATAACAGGTGTATTCTATATACTGGAGTATTTGTCTGATATATTTGTGTAGATATTTGTATGACCTCTAAGACAATACACAGTATACAAAAGGATTATACACGACATGTGCTCGAGTGTGGTGAAAGAGAATCTTTATTTTTAGCACACTTTGTCAGTGTGGACTACTGTACCAGCATTGCCAACCGTAACGACTTCCTCCAAAACCTTCTCCTTAGCCCCGCCCCTCATGGCCTCTACTAGGACATTATAGGATGCTCCAGATGTCAATCCAATCAGAGTGGCGCTGTTTGAGGTGCCAGGAAGACGCATCTATAGGGGGACAGAGAAAGTTAATAAGTACTCCTTACTTTTCCTGCAGTAAGTGTGTGTGTGTGACTATATGTGTGTTTACCTGGAATGCTCCTTCCTCCGTGTGTGTGATAGGATTACAAGACACCTCGTACTCTGAAGTGTGAGGAATGCCAGACCAGGAGATTGTTGTGATAGTCTGTGCTTCTTGGGGTGTCTCTGTTTCATTGTCAGGGAAACCAAACGCAAGACCTGGCAGGGGACCATCACTCACCTACAGGATATAATGGACAGTACAAACTTAATGTGAGCTCAAAATATAACAAAAAAGAGGCTACATATTATAATATTTACAAACACAGTTACAATTATGTACTACAGAACAGTGATTTAAGATCATCTGAGACTGAATCAAACTCAAGAATAGAAATCTAAACGATAGTGGACTATTGAAACATTTTCACAAAAGTATTTAAACATTATAATGATGACCATCAGTTTACAACAGAAGATTCAAGTCTTACACACCTTGACCAAGGGAACTCTGTTTCCATCGGGGCCTGCTACAGGAATGTAGATCAGAGGCTCTCTGAGAGTGGGTCTCTGACCTTCTCTGGGGCCGCTGAAGGGGCCATGGAGACCGTTGTTAGGGCCCAGGCTCTGGTACTCAGTGTAGATGTGTTGGCCCTGCTGGCCTGGTTGGTTCAGGCCACTAGTACCAGTGAAGTGAACCTGGTTGGTGTCAAAGCTGGACACAGAAAGAGGAAAGAATAAGAACAGGAGATTCAAATGGGGAAAGAATACTTGTGTTTTGTTCCACATTTTAGTTTGATTATGCAGGTTCGTACATCTTGTCGTTGAAGGACTCTGGAACATCCAGGATGTCAGCGGTGGGTCTGTGAGGGACAGGCAGCAGGGGCAGCTCAGGGATGACCAGTAGATGGTGATCTGGAGCTGGCTCTGATTGGACAAGAGACATATGTAAGCTAGCTGTTGGAAGCAAGCAGGGCAAAGGCAATGCACAGAACCACTTGCTTAACTTTTAGCATGTAAAAGAAGATGGCTGTGTTTCCACTCTTTTCCTGAAACAAACAGGAAACTAATTCACCTGCACACCTTTGATAACAAATAATATGATTCAAAACTTATAATAGGACAAAAGTGAGGATGCTAAGTCTAAAAATTAAGTCACAATCAATGTCAAGCGCTATATGCTGCAAGTCTACATCAGCAGTCAGCAGGGGGCAGCATAGTGTGGCTCTCAAACATATGGCAAATGTTAATATGTCAAAATGATAACTTTTTACTTGTTAGTTTTACAATGTTTTTGCCAAGAGAAACAATAAGTGATGTAGTTATTGCTTAAATTGTGGATGTATTCAAAAACAAGTTTAATGGGGGAATACAAATTAAAGCGTCTTTAAGAGAAGTCATTACAACGATCATAACAAATAAGAATGATCTGACCATGTTCTCTCCTCAAGCCACGATACGAGATTACTTCATCTAATTAGTGCATTTTTGGGACATTCCCTAAAAGTGGGTAGCATAAAAACAGCCCATAATAGTTTTATTAACACTTTTGCGGGGAAGATTTAATAGCAGCTAGTTTATTATTCCAGAGAACCAATTAAATTATTTCAGAATATCATAAACAAAGCCGAATTTAGAGTTTTCCTTTTTCCAAGGTGACTGTCAAACTGCCTTTTGTTATTGGCATTATGTCTTAAATGTTTTAAATGCAGGATACATTTTTACTTTAATGAAAAAGTAGGTCTGCAGGTGGATGATGGGTACTTACGTGTTCTGGCTTTTCCCACAAGAGATGTGCTTCTCAGAGCATTCTGCAGAGCCACAATCTTAATGACATACTCTGTTCCTGGTTTCAGACCTGTGACCAAAATACACACGAGTTATGAATTTTTTTAATGACCGTATTTCCACTCATATTCTTTTTGTCTTCGTACAATACCTCACCATTGATGATGGCGTAGCTCTGGCCTGCGTGAGGTCTGGGGGTAACCTCTCGAGGCAGACCCCCGGCCTCCTCATAGGTCACGTAATATCCGGTTACCCCTGGACTGCGTGATGGCTGCCAGCTGAAGGAGATGCTGGTGGGGTTCAGGGAGGTGAAGCGGATGCTGGTGGGCGGGATGACCACTGGTTTGCCTGGAAGAGACAGACAAGTTAGTTAAACAGAACAGAAAACTACAAAAAAAGAAACAGAACTACATGTTATTTTGGCAATCTTAAGAACTTCATAATACTGAGACATAAGGGCTAACAAACTGGCATTGAAACTGAAAAGATATTGATGCCGGTTTGTGATATTTGTTCTAAGCTGCAATGAACAACATTTTGAATTAGGTTAAATTAAATAAATATTGGTATTCATTCCTCATTAACGATTTTTCTGTTGTTATCAAGATTACAATATATATACACACATCAATATATATTTCCTGTCGTCATGACAAAGATGCAGCGTTTCACACTCAAAGTAATGTACTACTCTTGACAAAATTAGATGAATGGTTACCTGTGGTGGCAGTGAGTATGAGAGGATTGCTGCGTCTGCTCCCTTTTAGTGTATAGATGTTAATCTTGTACTTGGTGCCTGGCTCCAGACCTGAAAAGAAGAAAGGTGATGGGTCAGTGAGGGATTGTGTGCTTGAGTACTCAGACCAACAATCTCATGTTATTGAGTTACATTATATCCAATTAAACATTACATGTGTGGGTTGACCTTTCTCTATGTAAACATCATTTCTGTTTACCTGTGATAACATATGAGCGTGACTCGGGGCCAATGGTCCTTGTAATGGGTGTGTAGCCTGAAGCGGGGGAGGTGGGAGTGGTCTCAACCAGGAAGCCAGAGATGGTTTCTGTCTTGGCGCGCCAGGTCAGCGTGATGGAAGAGTCGTTGACGTCGGAGATGCGCACACGACGAGGGGGGCTGATATCTTGAAGAGCAAATAGAGAAAAGGTCAGGTTGAGGAAGAACAAAACCAGGAATAAGACAGTATAGATTCACAAGAACAATCCAGAACAATGGTACTGTAACACAAATTAAATCTCTCAGTTTTCAAATACTTTTATACATTCGCATTTTATGAGTTACAAACTCACTCTCTCCAGTAGTGACCTCTCCCTGGACTGGCCAGCTGGTCAGAGAGTTTTTCATGGCGTAAACATGGACTTCATAGGCAGTTGCAACCTAAGAGGGGTGGCGTAAAAGAGAAAAAAAGATCAGTCTCTCACAGTGTTGCAGAATCTGAGTTTAGGTATCCTGGCTGCAGCTGCAAACCTGACATAATAGGTTTGTGCATGGGTCTGCTTATGTATTGCCTTTTGTAAATCAGTAAACACTACATGACCATATTTATGATCTAATAACATAAATAGGAACAAATGGATATCTAGAAGGTAGGAAAACAACCTTATAACAACTTCCTTCCTCAGACTCACAGAGCCACACTCACCATGAGTCCAGAGATGTGTGCCTGAGTGGCGTCCGGGGCAAGGTTCAGCTCCTTGGTGGGGCCGCTCTTGCTCTTTGGGTTCACCACCACCCGGTAGCCCGTGAGGCCTGTCAGGCCAGTGAGTCTGTTTTCCTGGCGAGGCAGGGACCAGGTCATAGTGAAAGAGGTGGGGCTAATGGAAGAGAACTGGAGGTTGGTGGGGGGTGAGATGGCTGCGGGGAGGAGAGAAAATAAAGAAAAAAGGGTTAGAGGGAGACGGTAATGACAGTATGAGCAATCATTGTGCTCTCAAGTAAAGAATGAAAGTAATATCTTTTCTTTAAGGCCCTTTCTATCAGTGACTGTTGTTCAAATTGTAATTTTCTACAAGGGCCCGTCTGTCGTCTAAATGTCACTTTTCTTAAATGGCTACACCTCCAAATAACACTTAAGAGCCAGGTCAGTCGTTCAAATTCCTCTTCATATATATTATACAATGCACGCAAATTTTACTTTCTGAGCTTTCTGGTCTTTGACTTTTTCTTATCAGTTTCAGATTTCCAGCCGTACCTGTAGCTTGTATGCCGACCAGTGGTGTGCTGTTTGTGTCATCGTGCACAGCGACGACCTTCACAGTGTATTCAGTGCCTGGCGACAGACCGTAGATGATTGCAGACTCGGCATCTGCACGGGGGGCAGGCCGCAGCTCTCTCTCTCCCTCCTCTGAACTGGAATAGAAGACCCGGTATGATGTGACGATTCCCTCAGGGCTGTCCCAGGTGATCCGCAGCGAGGTGGAGTCGATGTCGGAGAAGGTAAGGTCCTTAGGGTGGTCTACATCTAGGAAGGCGTTAGAGGTAGGAGGAGAAGTCAGGAGGTTGCTTTGAATTTCTGATGGTTTGGGAATCAATATGTTCCTGAAATATCTCTCTTCTTACTTGTTAAAGCATTCACCACCATTGGAGAGCTCTCTCCATCTTGTCCAAAAGCGTACACACTCAAAACGTACTCTACTGTGGGCATCAGCCCTGAGAAAGTCATCTCTGTCTGGTCTGGAAAATTGAAGGAAAAGGATAGACATTAAGTGAAGAAAAATATATTACAGAGTGAAAATTAGGACATTAGAACAAGTTTACGACTGTATAATCAAGCTTTAAAGGTCCCCTATTATACTCTTTTTCATCAATATATAATAGGTCTCAGATATATACAAAACATGTCTCTGAAGTGTTTGGCTCCAATACCAAACAGGATCAGTATTGGTTCTTTCGCCGTGCGATCCGAGGCCCCGCTGTTTCGAAAGTCGGCCGGAGTGTTCTCTTTCTGTTACTTTAGATGAAAATAAGGAGCCCCTCCCCACGCCCCTCTGAGAGATATTTGGTTACAAAGAACACAATGGTGCTCAAGGCATACTTGCCAACCCTCCCGATTTTCGCGGGAGACTCCCGATTTCATTGCCCTCTCCCGGTTTCCTCCCGGGGTCATATTTCTCCCGCATTTCTCCCGATTTCTTGGCAAGGTTGGCAAGTATGGCTCAAGGAGGAGATTCAGGTGATAAAGTGGGTGGGGGTTACCTTAGTTTGGTCATTGGCTAATGGTTACACAACCCAAAAAAACATTATAACATCACAAAGTGGCAAAAATCTGATCAGCTCATTTTCAGACAGGTTTCTATATAAATGGATCAGGACAAAAAGAGATAGAATCTTTTTTACTGAAACTTTCAGAATCTCTTTACACAGAGGGGACACATGTTTATGTATAAAAGACATGAAAAAGTGGATTTTGCATTATAGGTGACCTTTAAAATACTGACAAACACTACATACCTGGAGCCACCACCTCAGCAAAAGACGGTCCCTGTCCATTCTTGGGGACCCCAGTCACCCTGTATCCCTTGATGGGGCCCGGGGCAGGGCTCCACCTCACTGTGATACTGTTGTCCTTCACGTTCATCACCTCCATTTCAGAGGGAGAGTCGACACCTAGGAGAGGAGGATTAGGGAAGAGAAGAGGAGAAAGCTATAACATGAGATGGCTTGATAATCACTACAAATGAGTGTGCTTTTTGTCTGTAAAGGTGTGTGTACCTGTCTTGTGCATGACGTAGATTGGAGTGCTGGACGCGGGGCTGTCTCCTCTCCCGGTCACAGCGTAGACGGTGATGGTGTAGTCAGTACCGGGCTTCAGGTTGTTGATGGTGGCGGTGGACTGGGAGCCAGGGACTGTGAACTCCTTAGGATTACTGTGACCTCCTGGATAAACAAGGACAATGTGATAAATATATTTAAAAACACAATAAAAATAAATGTATATAAAAGAATATAATAATAATAATAATAATAATAATAATAATAATAATATTAATAATAAACCAAACAATATATATTATTTACATTTTCCTGGCAGAAAATATACAATATGTATCTTATAATAAATGTTGTAATTTATTATGTTTTTTTAATCTATCATTCATGTTTTTTCGAGCTGTACACACTTTAAAGAGACACTTTGTTCAATTTGAAATATTTGGCTATATAAATAAAATTTAAAGTAATTTATGTCATTATTTCTTACTGACCAGACTCTCCATGAGTGATCCTGTAGTAGCGCACGGTGACAGGGGGGGCGTCCCAGCGGACAGTGATGCTGGTGGGGGAGGAGTCGAGCACTTCCAGGTCTGTGGGAGCATCAGAGACTAGAGAGAGAGAAAACACAGACAAAATAATCAAATAACCCACATGGAGTAAGTAACTGGATGAAATAAAGTGTTGAATCAGGATTTATTCCTACTTGTCTTCTGTGTCCCAGTGAGCGGCAGGCTCTCTTGGGACCCGCTCACGGCGTAGATGTTGACCAAGTACCCCGTGTCAGCGGTGAGTCCCGTCAGAGTGAAGTGGTTCCTGGACGGGGGCAGCCTCTCATCCTTGGTCCTCCCTCCGCTGACCATCAGGTGGCGGATACGGTACCCGGTGATTTTGCTCTGGGGAGCGAGCCAGTTGATGGTGAAGGAGTTGGTGAAGACCTCAGAGAAGCGCAGGCCAACCGGTGAATCCAGAACTTAGAGGTTGGGAGGTACAGAAACATATTTATTATATAAAGGTAAATACTTTCTAAAGGGTATTTATTATTATTTTTGGGGGTTTCCTTTTCCTGTAGTGTTTTATATAGGTTTTTGTGCATGTAAATGGACTGCAAAGGCTAAAATCCCAGGTTCCCTCCAGAGGTCTTGCAAACAAATCCCCCTCTGCCTGAAACGCCTCCATTGGATTCCTTTGTTAACTTACGTAACATAGTGATACCAATGTAACACTCCCGCCTCTATTACTAGCGCTCCAACACATTGAACGTGATTTGTTAAGGGGTGGGACATTGCCAAGTGGCCAGCTAACCAGTCAGAGCAGACTGGGCCCTGGTCTCACAGTACAAAATACAAATATGAACCTGAAAATGAGGATTATATGTCCTCTTTAAATGATCACCTTAATAAAGCTATAGTTATTACTTATTTACCCAACACTGGACGGATTTACTCCTGTTTTTTCAAATATCCATGTAAGACTCACCTGTTTTCTTGGTTCCGACGAGGGGCGAGCTCTCTCTCTCCTCGTACACACACACCACGCTCACTAGATACTCTGTGTTTGGCAGCAAGTCTGTGAACAGTGAAAAATACATAAATACAAAATGTACTTGTTGTGCGTTGTTGTGTATTGTTTATTTTCTCTCCTAACTTACTCCTTAGCACCACACTGTTCCTGTTGCCTTCTGCGCTGGTCTCTGTGATGTCATCTTCATCGTCAATGGGATGATACCTGAATAATAAGGAGAACAACAAATAAGTTGTGTGTGAGTCAGTGTGTCCTCAGAAAATATGTGAATCAGAAATATTCAAATATAACATTTTATGTTTCTTCTCGTACCTGATGAGGAAGTTGTTGATTTCAGCAGAGTTGGGAAAATAGGGAGCGACCCAGTTGACTTCAATGCTGTCTGGCCCAACCTGGCCAAAGCCCAAGCTAGTGGGTGCTGGTACAGCTATTGACAAAAAACAAAAAACAGCTTGATTCACAATGTGTTCAAACGGTACAATATAAGCTTTTTTTCCCCTTCATTTGAAGAGAAAATAGATCTGATGAAAGAAAAACCAGATATAAATAAACTGACTAAAAGTGGAAGGTATTCACACCACCATTCTTCTTCTACGTGTCAGTGTAAATCCTTGACTGAAGTTTTACGACATCTTTAAAGTGAGAAAATAAGCAGTGTTTGCATCGGCAGGCAAAATGAGACTCAGTTTGATACAAGCCCCACAACTGTAACCAGATGCTCCTCGTGCACAAAGAGGATTATTAACTGAGTGAAAAGCATGCTGTACAATTACTTCAGCAACTTAAGGGTTTTGCTTTGAAGAACCATGTATTGGGCTTAATAAGAACCTTATTGTGTTATATAACTCGGCACACATATTGTGATTTGTGACTCCCTAAGCAACTGATGTTTGTTCTAGTTTGGTATTGTTATTGTTATAGTTGTGGCAGGAGGATTCTTTTTTGGTTGGGTGGGACTTGCCGGTGTGCTGAGTGATGACGATGGGTTCGCTCTCGCCGTTCTCTGTCACAGTGATCACGCTGATGTCATAGTCGATGCCAGGCTCCAGTCCGTAGACAGTATATTGACCAGTCGTTGGCAGAACAAAGTCTTCGAAGATGGGCACGCTCTCGCCGGCCGCTACCACCACGATCTTGTAACCGGTGATGGCTGTGGTGTTGAGCGGCGACCAAAGGAGGCTAATGGTGGTGTCGCTCACGTCCTTAAATGTGAGGTCTGTCAGCTGTGGGACTTCTGGGTAGGTGGAAGGGAAAGAAAGCGAGAAGACAACAGGAACACCAAACAAACACGAGGGAAAGGAGGAGGGGGTTGGACATGAGGGCCAGGAAGAGGAAGGCAACGGACAAAAAGAAAGAAGCAGTGGTTAACGCAAGCATTTAAAAATGATGTGCTTCCATTAGGGTGTAATATTCGACATATCAGACCAATGGAAGATATGATGTTAAGCTGCCTTTCCTGGTATATATAATTATTTTGTAAGGGTTCAGTTAAAATTCAATGAAGCATTTCCATTGAGAAGACCTAATATATATACAGGAAATATAGCGTTAGAGTTTCAAAACACTCCTGGTGCAGTTTTGCTTTTTCCTTCGGTTGCTGGTGTTAAGTTAGAGCAAAGATAGAATGTGTTAAATGCTTTCAACTCTCACCAAATGTTTTTTAACTTTAATGTGGACAGTTTGTGCTTACCTGGTCAGTTTCTCATGATCAATATCCTTCCTTTAAAAACCTATTAAAAACTCCTGCGTGACCTCGCACTCACCTAGTGTAATGGTAGTTGAAATGGGAATGCTCTCCATATCGCCCTTCACAGTGACAACGCTGATGTTGTATTCCTGTCCTGGACTGAGATTCTCCAGGGTGCAGGAGTTCTGACCTGCCTCCACAAACTCCTCCATGCTGTCTCCCTGCTGCCCATTGGTGGGAGTGCACATCACTCTGTAGCCCGTGATGTCTTTGAGAGAAAAAAGGAGAGAGAACTTTTAAACATAGGGTTAGAAACTAAAGTAAATACAGGAGATAACCTCAAAGCAGTTTCATCAAAAACGATTAAAACAAGATTATTACTGCGATTTTATATTTATTATTTGTAGTCATGTTTTTGACGGTTGCTTTTTGTTGCTTTTCAAGCGGAGAACTTCATCTTTCTCATCTTTTGATCTAGGGAAAGATTTAAATGTATACTTCTTTTCTGTTTGTACAAGGATTTGGAGTTTTCTTTAATTTCTCTGTCATTCGATGTGTTGGTAGTATATTTTGAATTGTGTACTCCTTTGTCAATTGTTGATGACCCTTCTAAAATGTTATGGGGACATACCACTGTCTCCTAAAATCATTAAAAAAAAAAATATTAAAAAAGGATAACAAAAAATTGTTTAAAGTCAAACTGTAAGGACCTTGGTATGTAGGTGTATGTGTACCTGGTGTACTGGCCTCGGTCCATTGGACTGTGAGCTCTCCGGTGCCTGGGTTAAACTTCAGGTTCAGATCAGTAGGAGGAGACAGAGCTGTAGTCCAAGAAGAGATACATTAAGAGACACTGGGGCGACAAAGCAAACAGCTTGGAAAGGAAAATACAGGATAAAAAGGAGACAAAGTTAATATTCAATTGTTGTTCTTACGTGTTACAACGCGGCGAGTGATCGCGGTTCCCTGCTCACGTCCGTTAATAACTGGCTGGACGCTGTAGGTGTACTCGACCCCTGGAGTCAGACCCGAAACGTAAATACTTCCTGAGTCAGAGGTCACATCTCTGGGGGCTTCTCCACCCTGACTGGGACGCACCGTCAGCTGAAAGATAAATGTACACAGTGTTAGAGACTCAGTGGAGAGCGAGACCTGAATCTGGGGTACAGGAGGTAAAGGTCGTAGGTCAATGTTTTCCCATGAACATAGAAGCCGGGAGAACATTCCCATCTCTGGTGTGACATAGTCTGACCAATCAGATTTGAACCGTGAGGTCTGTAGTTTCCATGTTATCTAACCTAAATGGGGCCTACACCTAACTAAGAAGAAATAGAATCTGCTTTCAAGGGGAAATGTACGGTGGCCGACAGGTGCAAACACGTGACAACGGCCAGAAAATGTTAGTAAAGCATGCGCATGTGTTGTCAAGTTATCAAAGATATTTCTTCATTTGCATTTGTTTTGGCAAATGAATGTTTTTGTATTTGCAATGTTTTTGTGCAGCACGTTTCTCTTAAAGTAAAGTGTTTTGGGCTGTGGTAGCTTGTTGGCCACCGTACAACAAAATGAAAACGGGAATGAAAGCAATCACAAACCAGTTCATTTTAAAGGGAAAACATGGGACAGCAGATTTATGAATACGTGGGTGGTGGGATATCCATTAGCAATAAGTGTACCTTATATCCAACACGGGGAACTGGAGTCCAGGAGATTATAATGGAGGTGTCAGTCACATCAGTGCTGAATTTAGGAGCGCTGCCCATTGAAGAATCTACAAACACCGGCAGAGAAAAGGTGTTTTGTGTGAGTTTTTCGCATGGATAGGATATAGATTTACATATCCATATTTTTCCAGTCATCTGTATCCATATTGCAAGTTTCTTCTACTCATCTTATAATACTTATCTTTTGTATACTACATGAAACATGAATTATTGAAGATGAAAAAAATCAAAAATAATAACAATAATCAGTTTAATGCTCTTTTGATACAAAAATGTGTTGAGCATCCCTAGAAAACAGTGCTTTATATTTGTGTTTATACGCATCAGGCACTCACTGGTGGTAAACACAGCGCTCTCTCCTCTACTCAGCGTGTTCTCCTGCTCTGAATGTAGCGTAGCAGTGTACTGGGTAGCAGGCCTCAGGTTCAGGAGGGTGTACTGAGAGAGGCGGGCGGGCAGACGCAGCTGCTTGGGGTTGGAGCCCTCAACAGTCAGGAAGAGACGGTAACCGGTGATTTTCCCATGAGGGGCGGACCACATCATCACAGCACTGTCCTCAGTCACCTCGGTGAAACGGATATATCTCGGAGCGTCAGGCTCTAAAAAGAAACATCAATAACACTGTTAGAGGATGTGATGTGTTTGACTTGCACTTCAGGGCTTCTGAACACACAGTAACGGTACGTCCACACAGCGGCTTTGGAAAAAGCTTGCCGGCGGGCATGTCTGAAGCTCGACCAACAACCAATCACATGAATCTCC